AGGTCCAGGTCTTCGTTTTGGCCCCATATATCAGTACCTCCCTAAATTCGGTATTTTGACGTGTTTAGGTACAATATTAATATTATTCAATTAATTTCGTAATGGATGCTTCTGCCTATGACAGAAAATTGTCTATTCTGGTCTAGGTCTTCGTATAGGCCCCATATATCAGTACATCCCTATATTCGGTATTTTGACGATTTAAGGTACAATACTCACCGAAATTGTTTATGATGTCGTATTTGAAGATCGTAATAGATACTACAGCCTATGACAGAAAATTGTCTTTGCAGGTCCAGGTCTTCGTTCTCCGATATAACGATACCTCCCTATATACGGTATTTTGATGATTTTAGCTGCATTATTCAACGTTTATTTCAAGTTTCGAATTTGAATATGGTAATGGCTTATGACAAACAATGCATATGTAGAACCCAATATAACGGCTATATTCTTATAGACCCCAACATAGAATTTTTAACAGATTATAATATTTGAAAATTTACAAATTCGTTCCAAATGGTGAGGGTATTCAAAGTTCGGCCCGGCCGAATTTACTGCTTTTTAACTTTTTATCTTCATATTTATAGTTATGAAAAAGTTTATATACAATTGTTTAAGATTTACTTTTTTGATTTGCAGTTCGGTTAATTAAAACTTTTAATTCCATTTGGACTATTTCCTTCACTTTTCTCATCTAGTCTTTTGTTGGGCTTTATCTTTTATTTTGAGAGAATTATTCACTTTCATCATTCATGGCGTTGCGGCGGACACTTAAAATTGTACAAATTACAAAAAGTTTTTTTTTTTTTTTTTTTTAACAAATTTCTTTCATTTTGGGCATTAGCCTCAAAGGCTGTGTCTTTGTAGATGGTGGCAGGTTATTCAGTATTCGGTTAAAATATTTAGACAGTCAAATAAAAGTTGTTAGACTGTTGAAATGTCCTGAAGTTTTTTTGGAATGGTTTCAGATTTCCTTTTTTTTTCTTTCTTTGCTGTTTCTTACTGGAGGGAGAATAAGGTTGATATGGTTAGAATATTATGAATGAGAAATAAGAATTTGATTAGAACGGGGACTGTTAAGAAGAGTGATCACAAAGCTTATTTTGGCTTACTTTCAATATTTTTGAAATTGGTTTGATATAAACATTAGAATATGCCAATTAATTAATTTTTTATACCCTCCGCCATAGTATTTAATGGAATTGTCGGAAATTCTACACAAGGAGTTCTTAATGGACACTTTACCGCCTGTAAGAAAACTGTCTATATAGGTCCACGATATGTAATGGTATCACCCTATATTAGGCATTTGGAGCAAGTTGAGTTTAGGAGCTATGATCGGAGGTAGGTATGCAGGTAGGTATTTTTAACCTGATTAAGGAAAAGTAATTGTTGGGTGGGGAATTACCCGGTTATTCGGTTATTTGACCCGAAAGTTGGGATGCATTGTCCGGGTTTTATCCAGTTCTACAAAACCGATAACTACATTTGAAAGCTTATGGAAATATCTATCCAACAAGTGGTGATGGGTTATTGGAATCGGTTCCGGAATAGTTCAAGAAAACTGGAATTTTTATACTAGTGCTTCTTGGAAAAACCCCTTTAAACTCGAAATTGGACCCATTATGGGGAATTAGGAACTACATGCTACATTATAGCCTACATGTTCTCATACCTCTCATAGTTCCAAAGATATTAGTGTTTCAAATCATGAAAATAAAATATACTCCACTAACTTTTTTAAGTAGCCGGCCTTCGGCGGGATTGAGATTTTTTCCTCTGGCGTATGTCTAAAATCGGCTACGCGATACATACTTTTTCTAAACATTGTAAATGTTATAAGTGCCCGCTTTCGGCCGCGTCTTGAGATTTTCTCCTCTGAGGTATGTCCTACGCCGGCTATGCGATTCATAACTTCTCTACAATTTATAACTTTTGGAAGTTGACGGAGTTCGAACTACAAAGCTATACATGGTGAGATGAAAAAACTGCAACCAACTTCAGACTGCTGTCATTTCTAAGCGACAGCTGTTAAATATATTCCAGTGACAACCCATTATATTGTATACAAGCGTACAAAAGCATTTTGGTGAGAATTTTCAAGAAAAAAATTGGTAATTGTAGCGTAGCCCGACGTCAAGGTAGTGGACGGAAGAAAACAGCAACATCAGCAAAATTGGTTCGAAAAGTAAGAAGCAACTTGATCGAAACCCGCGTCGCAGTGGCAGAAATATGGCTCGTGAGCTGAACATATCGCAATATTCCATTCGGCAAATATTGAAAAATGTGCTCTGGGTAAAACCATTGAAATTCCATATAGTGCAAGAACTTAAACCGCAACAAAAAGGAAATAGACTCAAAAGAGCTAAAGAGTTGCTTCGCTTGGCCGAAAGTGGTGAAGTGCCGAATTTGGTTTTCTCCGATGAGAAAACATTCGTTGTCCAGCAGTTTGTAAACAAACTAAATTATTGTGTTTACTTGCCAAAAAAGTCAGCTGAAAATGTGCACCTTTGGTTGGCCACTAGAACTCAAGCGCCGGCCATGGTAATGGTGTGGGCAGCCATAACAGCCAATGGTCGCTCTCCGCTCGTATTAATCGACCGTGGCATCAGAATAAATGCCGAATATTATCGCGAAAATATTCTGGAAGGTGTATGAAAGCCTTGTGTACGCAAACATTTTGGCCGAAGAAGATCCAGCGCACAATGGCCACCAAAATCTCCGTATACCAATCCGTTGGACTATTGTGTTTGGAGTGTTTGGAAAGCAAGGCTTGCACAAAAAAAAAAACACAAAAGTGTCGATCACCTCAAGCAAGCGCTTCACCGGGAATAGGCCAAAATACCACAGAGCAACATTCAGGCAGCGTGTTTCATTGGCCGTTTGAAGACCATAATCCGTACCAAAGGTGACAAATTCGAACAAATCTAAACTTATTCTAAAATTTGATGCTATTTTCGATATTTTTTGCTTTCATTAATATAAAAAATGTAAAAACCATGATGTTTGCAGTTTTTTATCTTACCTTGTAAAGGATTAGATTTTCGCTCTAATATGTATCTATATTAGGGCGAAAATCTTTAGTTCGTGATTTGCAACACCAATGCAATACGGAGGTACCGGAGATATCGATACATATAACACCATTTTTGAAAGGCCAGAATGTTGACTATAATTTAGTGTGCAGGTTTTAATACCCCATAGGAGGTATATTTTCGACTTTTTATTGGTTTTTCAAAAAGTTCCCGTACAAAAACACCAATTTTGTACATATGACCACTTGTTGCGTAGGTATTTCCATAAGCTTTCAAATGATGCATATCAGTTTTGTAAAACCGGATAAAACACGGATTTTGTATCCGTATTTTCGGATAACCATGTAAGTTTGTTCTGTCTGTTACAACAAAAACCCCTTCGTCGACCGTGCCTGTGTCTATTAATAGAACAGTGTTTGGCTTGCTTGTTTGGGATACCATACTTCGTTCAGGTTGAACGAAAGCATAACAGGTGGAGAAAGATGTAAATGTTTATAAGTGCGGTTGTAAGATTTAGAAGATTTTCCAAAAGAATTTTAGTTTTTTGTAATTCTTTTGCTCCTCTTCTATTGAGCTTACGATCTCGTCACTTGGGTAAAAAATGTTTTTTGTCATAGAAGTTATTTTTTTAAATAACTTCTGGGGAGAATATCCCAGACAAGAAACAAGGGAACTGATGAGGATTGTTGGCTCTTTCCGAAATCTAGGTATTCCCTGCCTTACCCCCTGGTAAACATTACCATCGTTCTCCACTCATAAACAAACGTTGTTTTTATAAAAACAACAATAATGGGATTTTGCCTGACGATTTTGCAACAACAAAGTTTTTGTTTAATTTAAAAAATTGTGAAAAAAGTCAACTGATTTTGCGGTAAATGTACTTTGATCTTGTTCTCTGTTTTATTTGTTTTTTTTTTTTTTTTTTGGTCTTTCTAAAGAAGTTTCTCTTGGGTTTTTATCCTGTTATTTACTGGAATTCTAAACTATATATAAAAGTATTTCAGTCTCTTTAAAAAATCAGTGGTGAGGTTGCTTATTTCACCCTCAATTTTGACTGATGATCCAATTTAAGACAATAAGAGAGATGTAAGGGAGGATGATAAGGATGATTTTTTAAATGTCAGTCACATATATTTTTTTCTAAATATATTATAAGGTTTTAGTCTATTTCAGATAGGAAGGCCAATTTCTTATATATATGCCAGCCAATTTTGTATATATATATTTTTATAATTATTCCTTTCCTCATAAAAATATGTAGTATTTTTGTCTTCAGTTTTAGAAGCTTTTACAAAGGATAAATATTTTTTTGGCTTAACTCAAATTTTGGATTTATATAGGCAATTTTTGTAATACTTCCATCCATCTATTGGGAAACAAAATGCCAAATAATAAGTTTGTAAAACGCTCTGTCTGAAACCCTTAAAAACCTAGAATTAGGAAGTACCATTATATATTTTGTAGGAAGAAATTCCCAAAATACATAAAATTTGAAAGAGCCGTTATATACGGTCAATACTTAATAGTGGATTTATCTTCACAAAATTTAGCAGGGAGAGATTTTGTCCGCTCAGAACTCAAAATGTCAAGATATTCATGATTGCGTTTGAAATTGTGGCCGAAACCTTCAAAATACCAAAAATCAGGAAGTAACGCTATATGGGGGCCTTACCGAAACGCGGCCGATATGTCCCATTTTTAATGCCGAACATATTAGAGGTAATATGAATGTCTGAGCAAAATTTCAGAGCGATAAAATGCTTCCCTGAATTAATCTCCGTTTTAGGGCATCTCACCCCACTGTGCGTCATCGTATAGCCCCCATAAAAAGGTTTTTATTTGAGCAGTATTTTCGACGCGGTTTTTTTTTTTTTGAAAAATTTCAAGTTCCTTTCGAATGGTGGAGGGTATAAAAAGTTCGGCCCGGCCGAACTTAACTGCTTGTTTACTTGTTAATTTTAATTTAATTTTTTTTTAATTTTTCATTTAAATATTATTATCATAGTATCTTGTATATAAAAAATATAAAAGTCTATTTCATGCAATGGTCCGGATTTGGGCCCAATGTGGGATAGGTGCGTAAACGTTGCAATTCCAAAATGGTCTTTAGTTCCATGATATGGGCATAATCTCGGCGCACTGTATCAATAAGTTGACTGCGCTTCTTCAGTTTCTCCATTCTATTAATAAGAAAGAAAAATGTAAGTGGTAATTAATTCAAAACCCAAAAGTAACCTTACTTTTCATTTTGTTCCCTCCGCCGCTTATCCTCAATGAGATAGTCTCGATTTGAATTGGAGAAAGCCACTGCAACTTTGACATCGTCTATTTGACGATTCAGGGTTTTGTTTGACCTTTTCATTTCATCGATTTGTTGACGCACTGTGGCTATTTGGGAGTTTCTGGAATTCATTTCTTTATTATGAACTAATTTTTCATCTTTAAAGAGAGAACTACTTACAATCTCTCCAACTGCCGTCGGTAGGAAATCTGCTTATCTTCGATCGCCTTTTCAATGAGGCCAACTGTGTTGAGCATTTTCTGTTTCTCGGCCTTGATCTTTTCCCAATTTCTCAAAATATTCAGAAACTCTATGGAAACTTTGCATTTTTCGATGACATACAGCATAAATTTCAAATATTCTATGTTCGCACTAACCACTTTGTGCTCCCACTCTTTGTAGATAACTTGACGCCTGAAGAAGGCCACACGATGCATGGCTTTTAGCTTCATGTGACCAGCTTTCTGCAAATATTTGTTGAAATTTGTTGTGATAAATAGAATAATAGCTTAAGGGAGCGACTTACCAAAATCAGAGCATTGATGTCATTTATATCATCCACATGCATGAGAATACAATTTTGTAATTTCTCCATGGAACCCATAATATTGAGCTCTACTTGGCCCATGGTTAAGCGTAACTCCAATGTTTGATTTTGAACAGATTTTAACTAAAATGTGGAAGGGAAAAATAAAAGAAATGGAAAATAAAAGAATGCAAATATAAAAGAAGTTGAAAATACAGAGAGAGTTACGAGTAGGACCTAAATAACCTAGTACTAGCGGGAGCTGTAGATCCAGTGATTGTGAGAAATCTCTTATAGGCGTGAGAGCCATAGAATCTGAAGTAGAAGCTAAAAGGGATATGTAGCCCAAAACAAAAATTTATTTTCAGTCTGTTTTTTTACCAACTAATGTCGACTTCGAACCCGATACTGTTCCGATTTTCTGAAATCCTTATTAAGGAGTTGCTTAACAATATGGTAGTGAACCAGAGGATTGCGAAGCTCACTTAAAAAAGAGGCTTTCTGAATTACAGAAACCCACGCTCAGGAAGACCGGAAAGGCAACGAGTACTAAAGCAGGACATTTCGAAGAAAGTTTACCATGAAGTAGGGAAGAGGAAGAGCAGAATTCTGCGAAGCTTTGAAAAAGAAATAACTTCCCGTCAGGAAGTGTAACTGCGGTAAACTAAAGTAAACTGAGTCAAGAACCGTGCAAACGAAACTTTTCTAAGCATCCTTTGATAGGCTGTGAAAGTGTAATTCCGAACATGACAAACCAATAAATTTTAAATACTCACATATTCATCCTGGGCCTCCTGGAGCTGGCGTAGGGCATCTGCTTTGGTATTTTTCAAATTTTGCAATTCTTTGGTGAAATAATTCGTTCCCGACATTGAATCGGCCAATTGCAGGTTGACTGCCTTAATTCTTAGTTCAATTTCGACTTTTTGACGACGCATTTTTGTTAGTTGATCCCAGTATCTAGACTCCAAGGCATTTGGCATATTGGAGACTTCGTCGAGAGTTGTCAGTGTGTCCAAATAATCGGTGACATCTTTTGGCAATGGGAATGGATATTTAGGCAAAGCTTTTGTATTGACTCGTGCCGAAAGCTCTTTACATATCAGGGTGGAGTGTAGAATTTTTGGCGGCATTTTAGGCCGCTTCTTGAAAATTTTATTCATTTCCGGGCCCATATGCTGTGGAATCATGTTAAGGTATTGGGTTTTAAACTGTCGCTCTATGACCCGGTCACGCTGCATCAGAGTTTCTGCCTTGGCACGTAGTTCTTCGACAGATTTGCTCCAGAATTCCGAGAGTTTGGTGTAGCGTAACACATATTCGCTGATTTTGTCGATGTTGGCTCTGTAAAAATATATTCCGGTTAACTATATATTAATTTAAAAATAGGCCAACGAAAGCTTGAACTTGTTACGATATGCGATAGGGAAATCTTTCCCTTTCTTGTATGGGGAAATCTGTAAGTTAGCTCAAGCTTTCCCTATATGGGGAAATCTGTGAGCTAGCTCAAGCGTTACCTATTCGGGGAAATCTGTGAGCTAGCTCAAGCTTTCCTATGAAGAAATCTCTCTCGCTAGCTCAAGCTTTCCTATGAAGAAATCTCTCTCGCTAGCTCAAGCTTTTCTATACAGAAATCTCTCTCGCTAGCTCAAGCTAGCCTATAGAGAAATCTCTTTCGCTAGCTCAAGCTTTCCTATAGAGAAATCTCTCTCGCTAGCTCAAGCTTCCCTATAGAGAAATCTCTCTCGCTAGCTCAAGCTTTCCTATAGAGAAATCCCTCTCGCTAGCTTAAGCTTTCCTATAGAGAAATCTCTCCCGCTAGCCCAAGCTTTCCTATAATTAGATTTTTAAAACTTTTTTTTCTCACCTTAACATCGATATTCTCTTCAGCCATTGCAGCTTCTTGAAATACATAGTTTTGATGTTCAAATTCCGCAATCGCACATGTTTAATGGCAAAATCATATTTCAATTTCAAAATCATCATTTGGGTGACTTGTTCATTCAATTTCGAAATATAATTCGATTTCATGTCATTGACCTTGGCGTCATTGTCGGTGAGAATTTTCAAATATTTTTTCCGATCTTCTGTGAGTATTCGTACTTTCTCTTCATACTCTCTCAATGCCTTTTGGTCCTCCAATGTGTACTCGGTGACTTCCTTCTTTAGCATAAATTCTGGAATTGGAATCTCCTTTTTGATTTCTTCCTCCCATAGCTTTTCCAGAACACCGTCCATCATGATGACCAGGGAACGTACCCAAAAATCCACAGACCACAGCAGGAGACGACCATGTTTGACGGATGTGATTTCCGCTTTCTTTTTACGTCGATTGATGGCTTTGATTTCCGAATCATCCACCTCCATGATGCGTTGAATAAACTCATCATTGCTCCACTCAGGCACTGAAAGTTCAGGTGGTTGGAAGGTGTCCATTTTGAGAAGGCCCAGCATGCAATTCATGTTGTCGTAGATTTTATTTAGGGTGGCATTTGTGCTCAATATTGCCTCCATGAGTTCGAATTTTATTTTTCGTATCTCCTCAAATCTTTTATTGAATTCCTCCTTTAGGCGATCCGTTAGCAGGATTCGTATTTTGGCATCGTGGCTATACATTTGATTTGCTGTGACATTATCGATGTCCTGCAGGGCTAATTCATCGGAAATTATGTGGTCATATGCTGAACCCTGTATGCAAAGATATTTCCGTTTCTTTGCCACCTTGGCCACTGACCTATCAATACCTTCATTATCACCCGAAGCTTCTAATTGTTCCATCAACTCCTCCTCTTCATCGTCATTTTCCCCATCCATATTTTCCAGACCATAAAAACGATACAAGTCATAAAGTTTGGCAAACTGGTCATTACTCCTCCGCATGCCATAATTTTCAAATGAAAAATTCGAAAAAATTGCCCTCACTTTAAAGGTGATACTATTCGAATTGCCTGTAATCAAATTGCGTATCCAGTCGCGTATACGAGACTGATCCTCTATGGCTTCCTCGAGAGACTTCTTTTCGACTTCACAGAGCTTTTGGGCCTCGCCCAACAACATTTCCAGCCATGAGTGATGTAAACAGAATTTCTTGTAAATGCCATGAGTTTTGCCAGTCACCGATATATCATAATCGATTAGTTCGGAAACTTCCTTCGCAAATTCTTTGATTTGCTCCAACAGCATATCTCTGGCATGAATTTCTTCTGGTGTATGTTCGACCACGACATCAGAACGAATTGATTCAATCACCATTGTCTGAACTTGTTGGGGTTCCAGAGAAAGAATGTCGTTGTTGAGGTAGGTATTTTCCGAAATTGGAACGGCCGAGAAATTGACTTTCATCACCTTGATGCCACCAGCGGAATAGAGGTACGCCAGATATCTTAAAATGGAAAGTGAATGTGATTGAAATTTAATTTTTATGCATTTCAGGGAAACAATTAAAAAAGCTGTAAGTTCGGCCGGCCGAATTAAATATCTTAACCATTTGGAATGATTTTGCAATTTTTCAAAAAATAAAATCAGTTACAAATTCTGCAAAAGTCTTAAAAATACCGAAGGAAGATATTATATTAGAGTCTATAAAACGACGTGGACCTGCATAAGCAACTTTTGTCATAAGCCATTACAATATTCAAACTCGGAACTTGACAAAATCGGTGAATAATGTAGCCAGAATCATCAAAATACCGAATATAGTGAGGTACGATTATATTGGGGCTATATCAATAAGTGGACCTGCACAGACAAGTTTCCGTCATAGGCTGCAGTATCTATTACGAACTTCAAACTCCAAATCTGAAATAATTCCGGTGCAAAATGTCGCTAAAACCACCAAAATACAGAATATCGGCAGGGCCTGTTATATGGGGCTATACGAAGACGTGGACCTGCATAGACAATTTTCTGTCTTACGATGCTCCAGCCATTATGAACTTCAACTACCAAATTTGAAACATTTCTGGTGAATAATATCGTTTAAATCACCAAAATAAAGAAAACAGGGAGGTACCATTATATGGGGGCTATACCAAAATGTGGACCCATGTGGCCCATTTCCAATACCAAAAGTCCTTTAGACATAATATACATTCAAGTAAAATGTTATCAACCTACTTCATTTCGTTCGTTTGTGGGGTCAAAAATGTATATTTCGAGGTGTTACAAACGTAATGAAGAACTTAATATGCCCTCCATACAGGGTGAGATAAAAAACTGCAACAAAGTCAAACGCCATAATTTTTACATGTTTTTAAATTTCATTGAATGAAAGACAAAAATGTCGGAAATGACATCAAATTTTAAAAAATGTTTAGATTTGGTCACCTTTGGCACGAATTATGGCCATCAAACGGCCAATGAAACAGCCATACGCTGCCCGAATGTTGCTCTGCGGTATTTTGGATCATTTCCGGCGAAGCGCTTGCTTGAGGTGATGGACACTTTGGTATTTTTTACTGCCAACCTTGTTTTCGAAAATACTTCAGACACAATAGTCCAACGGATTGGTATCCGGAGATTTTGGTGGCCACTGTGCGCTGGAAATGAAGCGATGAATCTCATTTTGTAACCATTCTTGGTGGAGCGTGCTGAGTCCTATTGGAATGTCCAAGGTCTGCGGCCAAAATGTTTGCGTGCCCTAGGCTTTAATACACCCTCCAGAATATTTTCGGGATAATATTCGGCATTTAATCTGATGCCACGGTCAATTAATACGAGCGGAGAGCGATCATCGGCTGTTATGGCGGCCCACACCATCACCATGGCCTTGCTTGAGTTCTGTGGCCAACCGAAGGTCCACATTTTCAGCTTACCTCTTTGGCAAGTAAGCGCGATCATTTTCCTTGTCTACAAACTGCTGGACAACGAATGTTTTCTCATCGGAGAAAATCAAATTCGCCAGTTCACCACTTTCAGCGAAGCAACTCCTCAGCTCTTTTGAGTCTATTTTCTTTCAGCTGCTGTGTAAGTTCTTGCACTTTTTGAAATTTCAATGCCTTTACTCTGAGATCGTTTTTCAATATTTGCCGAATGGATCATTGTGATATGTTCAGCTCATAAGCCACTGCGACGCGGGTTTCGATCAAGTCGCTTCTTCACTTTTCGAGACATTGACGTCGGGCTACGCTACCAGTATCACGGTAGCGGGCGATGGTACGAGACACAAAGGACTTATTTACATTTAAATGCTGGAGTGCTCTAACGATAGCCACTTGTGTTTTTCCAGCCAAATATAAAGAAATCACACTATCATGCTTGAATTCCATTATGAATAACTTTTTTCTGTACAATTCTCACCAAAATGCTCTTGTAAGTTTGTAAACAATATAATGAGCTGTCACTGGAATAACTTTAACAGCTGTCGGACGAGTGGCTTAAAAATGACAGCAGTCTGAAGTTGGTTGTAGTTTTTTTGATCTCATCCTGTATAAATGTGGAACTGTTTGTACGTTTTATTGTTTGTTTGTAATTTATAGGCTCAAAAACAGCTAAGCAGGTAGTTACTTAAAAAACTTACTTGTTTAAGTGTTCCAGGGGTCGTTGTTTCTATTCTAAGAATATCACATTTAGAAATGTTGGTACCTCGTAAGAATGCAAAAAGTAAGATTCTTGATATTGAATTGTTCAGAGCATTTTACTTCCATTAGATCAAACTGGATACCACTTTTCAGATTTTTGAAACTAACACTGCAATATTTAGTACTTTTTAGTACCGGTTTTCAAAATCTCCACTTTACGCCATGCAATATTATCGACTTTTTGAGATTAAGGGCTACATAGGGTAATAGGAAAAATTTTCCATAAATATGCGTTTACATCAAACAGACCCTTATGCTTTCACGTGGAATGAAAATGTATCATACACAAAATTTTCAATTGCGACTTAAGCCTCATATAGCAGTCCTGGACAATTTTGGATGGTTTGAAGTCTATGTAACGATATAACTAAAATAACTATATTTTAGGTCTTACTAATATTTTCCTACTGGAAATGTTTAAATTTTTTAATAGACGACTATTTCGCAAGATATTCAAATTTCTAAAGGTTTCGGTTTATCTCTATATAAGTTTTTCCGTTGAAGATGATATGAAAATGTCGAAGAGATAGTCTTAACACCGTTTATAATTATTTCTTCTCAAAAGCCAAATTTTTGAAATTTAATTTCTGAGACGTATTCTACATCAAATATAACCTTGACGAGACTATTGTAATGGTTACATATATTAAAATGTATTATTTATTTTTTAATTTTAATTATTTTCGTACTTTATTTCAACTTACTTGGCATTCAAGGACTCCATGACTTTCTTCACTACCCTTGGGCGATATTTGATCTGCAACATTTGCCCAATGGCATAGGGTTTCGTCGACTTTTTATGTGAACGAAAATGGATGTATGTGCCATCCATGCCCCAGGTCAAGAGATATCTTGAACCCGATATGCCATTGATATCACACAAATGGTTAGTTTGCACTGATGCCACCAAAAGCAATTCATTTGTTTTGGGTTTTAAATTTAAAATGTCAACAGTTCCGGATTCCAAACGGACACCAAAAAATTCGACAATATCCTTCATGGGCACCGTCGAATCGGTTATATCTCGATATGCATGTGGCAGCTCATAGTCATGTCGTTTTATTTCTCTTTTCTTCAAATTCCACGAGAATGTCCACAATTCGCGGGCATGGGGTAATTTAAGGTCATCATCTCGATTAATGAAAATAAAGCATCGTTGGTATTCGCCCAAAAAGAATTTACAAACATTTATTGCTTCTGGAATTTTTACAAGCGGAGCCATTTCGAAGAATTTATTTTCCAAGAAATCTGCCTTAACCAAATAAAATTCATAGTAAATATTGTGATATAAAGCCAGATCATCCACAAGTTGTATTCCCGCTACAGCATAACCATTCTCGGTTTCTATGGTGCCCACCTCTTGGGGTTCCTGGACATTGCCATAATTGATAAAATGCAATTTTCCCATTGTGGTACCCACTATTACATAGGGCCCCACATTGTGATCCGCCATTGTATTGGCATTTGGGATTTCCAGTTCAGAGAAAATATTTATTTTTCCCATTTCCAAAGCTCTCAACGTACTGCCATGGGTTAGCTGCAGAAGGCATTCCTCCTTAACGGCTTTTAAAATTACAAAGTCATAAGCGTTTTGATTGAAAGTGTAAAAATCCTGCAACTCAGGTTGATCGGTGGAGGTATCTATTTGATAAAGATTTCCCACATGCGCTGAGGCAAATATGTCTCCATTAGTATTGGAAATTATTTTGAAAATACCCTCGTTCAATGGATCGGTAATAAGCCATTCTGTCGTCCACACATTAATTTTCTTCTTTATATGGTAAACGGCGTTGCTACTGTAGACTAGTAGACCTTGTCTATGGCTACAGACCTGATATGGTTTGGGTACTGGAGTTGTTTCATCGCCAGGTTCTATGGACCATTGAGGTTTCAGGAAAAACTGGGCAATTTGTACCTGAGAAACAAAAATTAATTAAAAAACGAATGAGAGATGAGGTCATGAGATGCAGAGAGTAAGAATAAGAAAAAATGGCTTGTCTGAGAGTTAACGTTGACACAGGCGTAGTCTGATAGAGAAAGTAGTTGGCGTTATATATCGGAAAATCGGAAAGGCGACTGCCATATGGGAAACGAAACAACAAATTGAGAGAATATGACACAAGAGAAAAATTACAATTTCTTCTTAGATCACTTCGTCCTGGCTGCCACAGTTCCGCGGATATATCACTCGTATGAAAAAATACCTGATATTCTCCTCATTATCGTCTCCATCGATTTCGTAAGCCCTGGCCGCACTCTCAATAACCATGTTAACACTTCAGTGAAAATCAAAGTCGCAGTTTCGGAGAACTCTCTAACCCATTGGATTTTAGAAAAACTAAATTTATCCGCAGAAGCTAGCGAACTGCATTTAAAAGTAAATAGGCTAATTGCCGAACATCAGCACCGAATCGAGTAAATTGTGGACAACGGTTTTGTCGTTCTCAACACACTGAAATAAGAATTATGCCTGAAAATGAGCAGGGTGGTCGATCTATTGAAGCCAGGAAATGATGCCAGCAAAAGCATTATACCTTTTGTCGATTTTTTCCTTCCTAACATTAGTCCCAGTAATCCAGGCAGCGGACACATAAGATGAGCAATGCAAGCTCTGGTAAGAAATTATGGGTATAATTGCATGATTATGGACTAAGTGCAAGTCAGAAATTGCTAAAATAGTGACTTGGACAATCTGATATCTCTTTTGTTGCCAATTGTTGGCATCGCTCGCCATACCCCGAAATATTTGTTAATGAATCAACCTGAACAGGCCGTGCCAAGGACGAAGTAATTTGAGAAAATTCACGTTTGAATCCTTAAATTGTTATTAAAATATGTGGACGTCAGTTGGTCATCGGGATTTTTTGATATCTCTGAAACCGATTCACCTACATTTCACGATGGTATAGAGCATCGATTAGCAAACTTATCACCAGAACTGATCACTTGTTTATCAACAACAAATTTGCTTTGCAAACAGTCAGTAGCTCTTCAACTTTGAATGAAGTAGGAGGTCCGGTCGCTTGATTTTATGATTTTCAATTTCGCATAGAATTAACACCTGCAATGTTCGCAGAGACAGGTAGAGTTACTCTCACGATGTTCACGTCTGTAAAACATGCATAATCAAAGCTTTTCTGTTGGTAGTGGTTGGCTAGCCCTGGTATAGAGGTTGTTACGTATGATGATTATGATTTTGCTATTATTTCGTCGGGTCTTTTGTGTGATGGAACCCCTATCTGATCGAAGTCGTAGCTTTTTACAATATGTAAATATCTAAATCGTAATCAACTGCAATATTTTTTACCACATCGACTGGACTGAATGTGCAGGTAGAGAATTTCACACACAAATTATCCGATTGTCATAGAATCATATATGACAAGTCCCTCATGCATTCGTCGGCAACAAATAAGGTACAGACCAAATACTACCTTTTACTACTGCTATACTACACTAAAAGTCCGATATAATTGAGAGGTACTCAAATCTGCCAAAATACTGCACCGACAGCTGCAACAGGCTTCCAAGTCACCCAAATGCATATTATTATTCTAATGATAGGAAGGTATCGTAAGGATACATTTGGATATATTTTCCAAATATATTGCACTCCAATTTGATATAAATAATGTATCAAGGGCACTACATTTGACCAATATATGAACAACATGTTTAAAGAACTTGCTCTTCCGATTTGGCCCTTACCAATTGTACTGGCATACGACATTCGTTGTCCTAAATTTATACTCACCATTGAGACTGCACCAAAATTATCGACAATATATAAATTATTATCGTCAGCATAGCACATCGATAGAGAATTACTCAAAGCATATTCGTTAGTCAAGCTAATGTGGGAGATTTCATGTAAATTTACATCGGTAGCCGAGTGGCACGTTTCCCAAATCATTAATTGATGATTCCATTCGGAATATTGAACAATTTGTGGTATGTGATGGCCAGAGCATAACAGCGAGTAGGACAACGATTCTTTCATTGTTGTCACTTGACACAGCAATTGACCGGTACGAAAATTCCAAATACAAATCGTGTAGTGGGGATAACCCGATAGGGCCACGAGCAAATCGTATTCAGTGAAACGTAAATCGACAAATGTTACGATGTCATTAGCTGAAAAACAAATAATGATTTAGGGAGTATTTGCAATGGTAATTTTCAAACACACACACACTTACTGGTGAATACAGCATATTTGATAAACTGGGGATACTGCACAATGTGAATGGAAGGGCGTAGCACTACTTCTGAAAAGGCTACAAGGGCAAAACGATTATGTCCCGTCATAGTTGATATGCTTAGGCCCTGGCTTGGACTTTCTGCCTTGTAGTAGCTTATTTTCTTTGTATTCAAATCGCTGAAACATAAAATGTTATCGCACAACAGGCAGACTGCTTCAGTGCCAACATTGACCAGACTTTTGGGAATGCCAAATGAAGTCCATCTATGTTTTGCGGAAATTAATAATTAAAAATTATAAACATTTTAGGAATATATATACTTACGAGACCGTTAACGCCATTTCTTTCTACTTATTATTGTAGATATTTTTATGAGAATATTTCGATGTTTTCGTTGAAAATGTTTATGTTGATGGATTGTTTATTATTTTTTCGATTTGCTGTGATTGCCATGGTGAAAATTCGAACTGTATACATTGAATACAGTGTGTGGCAAAGCAAATAAGTAGGCATGGTACAATAAAAAGGTAAGGTAGAGCTTCCAGCTGATTACAATTTTTTTCTAAGTGTGTCCGACTTCTTCCAATTTTGTATATGTATTTATTGTTTTGAAACATTAAATCAAAATATTTTCAAAACCAATGATTGGACGACACGTACATTGCGATACATTGAAAGATTGAACAGTTTCGATTATATTTTTAAGAGAACATCCAGGAATTTCATTAATTTTTCGCGATATTAAACTCATTTAAGAATGAGGAAAATTATGAAAAGAAATATTAAAACAACTTATTGCACATAATTTTGAAAGATTCTGACAGAAAGCGTGCATAGCCCCAGGACTGTATTCCTGTAGTTTTACGAAGCTTTTCTACCTCCTTCTTACCCGACTTCTGCTGTATTTTTGTACTTTTACGAAGGTGTTCTACCTCCTTATTTTACCATGTGAGTACGCTTCTGGAAAAATTTGTTTTGCATCAAGCAATAATATAGAATTAGTATGAACTTGGCATGTACCTACCTACTGATTTTATTCCAAACACCATTAATTTCGCGTACCTAAATATGTTATCGCTGTAGCCATGTGGCCACAGAGGCTTGATATGGCCAAAACGTGCCTCATCGAAATAACGATTTTAGACTCTACTACTCTGTGGATGAAATACGATTCAGGACACGATAACATTTGAATGGAGCATCTGATTTGGTCAAGACTTGGTACACTGCATTATTATTAACAATCAATTTCGGTGATATGCAATATCGGCCCTTTGTGGCTATTTGAAAAATCATAACTCTTATCAAGTGTGATATAAATGTCAGATTGTCTTTACATTTCGTACATCTCAATATTTCTAACAACAGAACAGTGTTGGCTTGTTTGTTCGGGATACCATAGTATTTTGTTGTTGCAAAATGGCCAGGCTTAATCCCTTTATTGTTGTTTTTATAAAAACAACTTATGTTTATTAGTGGAGAACGATAGTAATGTTTACCAGGGGGTAAGGCAGAGAGTACCTAGGTTTCGGAAAGAGCCACCAATCCTCATCAGTTCCCTTGTTTTTTGTCGGGATATTCTCCGCAGAAGTTATTTTAAAAATAACTTCTATGACAAAACACATTTTTTTAAGTGACGAGATCGTAAGCTGAATAGTAGAGGAACCAAAGAATTAAATAAAACTAAAATTCTTTTGAAAAATCTTCTAATTCTTACAACCGCACTTATAAACATTTACATCTTTCTAGACTTGTTATGATTTCATTCTACCTGAACGAAGTAGCATAACTTGGGTAAAAAATGTTTTTTTTTTTTGTTTGTCATAAAAGTTATTTTTAAAATAACTTCTGGGGAGAATATCCCAGACAAAAAAACAAGGGAACAAAAAAAAAAACAAGGCAGAGAAGGTATTCTGGTATAAAGATAGGCCAAAATATATTAAAATAAGGCTGTGGGTATACATCTGTCGCCCAAAATAGACATATTGTTATTGTTAGCCTTTATTTTTAAAATACAAAAACAAATCTTTTAGAACTTAGAAATTTATTTCACCATATATAATCTTTAAAGGTTATTTTCGACGAAATTCTGTCAGTTTTAAAACTCTAAAATGCCAAAATTGATATATATCGAAACATCGCAGTGATAACTTAAAATCAGTAAGGAGAGGTCGAAAGTCGGGCGGTGTCGACTATATGATAGCCTACACCACTATGCATAGTTAGTATAGCTCCCGTATCAAAAAAAGTTTGTATTGTGAAGTAGATCATACCAACTATGAACCTGTTTGCATATCATGCCTTTAGAGTAGTCACAATTTGGGAACTACATCCAACTCTGAATCGATTTTCAATAAATTTGACGGAGGTCTTTGGACCTCTAGTAACAAATAACTTGGTTGAATAGTGCGACTTCGATAAAAGAGTGCATATTACGTATGTGAAGGATTTGAACACCAAATCGTATTAAAGATAAGTGTGGGAGCTATAGCTATATCTGAACCGATTTTCACGAATATTTGAAGTATTGCTTCTAGACTGAATTCCGTCAAAAGTGCCAAAATTCAGTCCGTTTTGGCTGATATTAGCCATTTGAGTCACGATAAACCTGAAATCAAATAAAAATATATAGGGGAGCTATATCAAAATCTGAAACGAAGTTTACAAAATTTGAAACACTTATTTCTGAACTGTATCTGATATCTGGTACCAAATATCACTATTGTGGAGTGCATATTGCGCCTTTAGGGGACTTAAAACCCCAAATCGGTTAAAACATATATATATGGGAACTAAAGCTATATCTGAAACGATTTTCACCAATTTCGAAGTAATGGTTTCTTGGATGAATTCTGTCGGAATTGACAAAATTCAGTGCACGTGGGCTGATATTAACCATTTGGTGCACAATAAACCTGAAATCGGATAAAGATATATAAGGGAGCTATATACAAATCTGAACCGATCTTGATAACAATTTAGGGACTTTTTTTGGGCTATATCTGATATCTGGTACCAAAGATCATTGTAATGGAGTGCATGTTACGCATGTGCACTATTAACCCGAAATCAATTAAAGATTTATATTGGAGATATATCTAAATTTGAACCGACACTCACCAGTTTCAATATTGTTCGTCCTTGGGCCAAACAAATGTGGTTTGGAAAATTTCATCTCATTCGGATAATGAATGCGTCCTGCGCTTTGTTCACAAAAATACATTGGAAGACGGACTGGCAGATATAAATCAACTCAGAAAGTAATTCTATGAAGGTCCCCAAAAATAACTATAGGTCTAACTCGCTCCCTTCTCCATGTTAGAAGCAAATGCACATTATTTTCTTTCAACATACATTAGGTGTTGGTGATTTAAGGCATTACACACACACTAACAAAACAATTTCCATAGTTCCGTTTTGTGGGACTAAAACTGACCACTGAAACTGTGAAATGTCATTTACAGCTGACTTTCAAAGAGCTATAAACTGCGCCGCTGACATTTCGAAATGTCAAATTCCAGCTGACTTGGCTAGAAATTGGGGTAGAAACGTGCAAAATCTCGGAAGTCAGGAAGTAGCCTTGTATTGGTGGGGGAATCCCAAGTGTTCAATTACATCGCATTTGGTTGAACTTTGAGTCCGAGACCTTAAAATACCGAAAATCATACCTACATTGATTTTTTAGCGAGGAGTAAGTCTTCCCATAATGAGCCCGATAAGTAATTGAGAGAGAATTCTCCAAAAGAAGTTAACTCAAAATTCATGCTTCACTTATGTACTTGATTTTACTTTAGAACATGCAGAAGTAAACCTATTTTTATGTAACTCGTTATATTCCCAGCCTCAGGATTCAACGAGAATATTGCCGGATAAGACCAAAATTTGTTTCATCATAATAGCAGTTTACGTCGTAAAGCCTCTGTGGACGAAACTCATTTCCAGTTATTTGGAGTCGATCTAGCCATGTCCTTTCGTCTGTCTTTTGGGCCGGCTAGTATGTACGACGAAAAAATTCGATTTGGTCAAACATGGCGCATCGTAATATTTTTAAACAAACTTAAATCTTGTTGGGACATTTGTAATATGAGTCCACTCCTGCTACGTGATTTTCTCGTCGTCTGAGGTATGCCCAACTGAGTCCAGGTTCTCCATAAGTACCCACTGAACCTTATGGAATAAGAAGAGTAGATTTCTTCCTATCCTGGTGGTATGAACCAAATATTTGATTTATTTAAATACTAAATTACAATCTACTACAGTTTAAATACGGATTTCAGGAGATATTATGTAATGATCTCGGGCTGTTCACGATTAAAACTTGGGTTGTTTTAAATGTGATTAGCCGGGTATAATGTTCATGTTACTGACGATACGGAGGTAATCGGTAACTCGTGGATGATAGTTGAATGTTGACAAGTGAGGGACATCAGATGTCGCCGTTTAAGACAGATCGGGGACTCGTGGTACAACCGTCCGACTGGCGAACCCAAACGATTATAACACTGTAAATATATGTGGGAGAGGTTGCCCAGGTCTTCCAAGATGGATCGGAATTCGTGCGGTTCGGCAGCTCACTGTTGGTATTTACGACAGTTGATGTCTACCCTTCTTAGACGGATCGGAAATCGATCGGGTTCGGCAGAAACTGTCCGGTTCCTAAGATGGATCGTAAATAGATCGTGTTCGGCAGTTACCTGTAGGTATGTTTGGATTTGACTGTATGGGTCGTCTATAAAGCTTGGAAGTTATTCTACATTACTACTTCTGGTATGGCGCTATCGGCCCACTTCTTCCGATACCTCGTCCATAAAAGGGTAATATTTTGAAACAATCATAATTCCCTTAAACCGTGAAAAAACTCTCCGTTTTTTTTTCTTAAAACTCCGGACATTTAAACTTAGATATATTGTGAAGACGGTAAATATAGGTAATTTAGCACCTCACCCTAAAGGGTAATTATGCATCTATCGGCAAATCGATTGATATTTTTATAGCTTGTTTTGTTGGATATAAAGCTAAGCAATTTTTTAAAAACATTTAACAAAGATCATTTTTAAAAATTTATAGTATTTTTTTTTTTTGAATTTCAATGTAAATCAAGATATTTTTAAAGGTTGAGAACAAGGAAAAACATGAATTTATTTTTTTAGGTGGTCGGTATTTTCTTTGTGGTTGAAAAACAACCAAAGATGTCTTCCATATGCTGTTCTAAAAATATTTTCGAATATGTTATATGTTTCCTTTGTGTTATTACATGTTTTCGGTTTGGCAAACAAATTTAATTTTTTTTTAAAATATTTTTTTCATATTTTTGTCAACCTGTTGGCCAAGTCGGTATTAACCCAAATACATTGACCACAAATATTTTTGTAGTTTGTTTTCAAAAACAAACAAATTTGTAATTCCTACAACATGACTCAATTTTATTGGCAACATCGAGAGAATATGCAGCCGTTGTGTGACGAAGGCAATTTTGTTCAAGTGGAATATGTAACATGCATACATGCATGAAAATAAATATACATAT